TATTGGGGATTACAGATACTTAGTGCATTTGAATAAAATCTTTAAATTTTTCCAGATTTTATTCTGTTGCATTGGTGAAAATAGAAGTTTATGAGGTCATTCTCATTGGTAGATATTTTATAAACTTTTAACTGCAGGTCATTATTGTTTCTATGTATCATGATATCTCGGAATGGTAAAGTGCTGTTATTTTCAGATTTAAAAGTGAAATCTGTTGTGGGTTCAACACTGTTAAGTTTGTTTATAAGGTCGGGTAAAATTGTGTCATGGGGATATATTCTGAGAGTATCATCTGAAATAAGAAGAATTTTGTGGTAAAATATTTTTGGAAAAAGAGAGTGGGAGAAAAAAAAGACAAATGTTATGAAAACTTTTTTCGATAACTGTTATAGAATGTTTATCATGCATATCCTAAAGCGATATGTGTCTGCGTTAGGAGAGATATGGAGAAAAAATACCAATTTTTCAAGTGGGGTTGAGTTTGCTTTGGAAATTAGAATTTAAAAGGCTGCCTTTTGCAGAAACCATTAAAACTAACAAAGATAATGTCTCAGCCAAAAGGTAAGTGCGTGATAATTCTTATATTTTTCTACTTTTTCTAAGAAATATGTTATTGCTGTATAAAGTATTAAGGTGTGTGTATGAGAGTGGATCAGTAAGTCTAGTCTGAAACAGTTATTAGCTGAATTTTGAGTGGAAACTTTCATTGCATACTGTTTGGTCTATATGATGAATACAGTCTTAAGTACATTGACAGTTTAGTGATATTTAAATAACTACCTAATTAGCATAGCTAAGACATAGAGACTATCTAAGTGATGAGACATTAAGGGGTGGAGAAGAATATGATATGCAAGATTAATGAAGAAAATCACATTTCATAACAGACAGGAAAGGAGATTATGTTGAAAAAGAAATATTTGATGTGTAAAGTAAATGTACATTATTTACATTATTCAGACTATTGTCCTCATCTTTGTTACCATATTTATTACAATGTTTTGGCCTTTCAGTATCTGCCTATATTTCTGAGATGAGGTGTTATGTACACTATTTACATTATTCGGACTATTGTCCTCATCTTTGTTGCCATATTACTATGTTTCGGCCGTTGTACGCTCCAGCCTTCTTCAGGTGGTTGGAATGTCAAACTGAACCGTTTATTTCGCTCACTGGGCTAGACTGTTCTAGTTCCACATGCCATGTTTACTGGATGTCAGTTATCAGTTATCTCCTGTTAATTCCCCTCCCCAAGTTCTCCACTGCCTCAAGGACACATGGCACAGTGGATAAAAGTGTTAGATCCAGTGACAGGACCCAAAGAGAGTGAGTTCAATAGCAGGTTACATTATATTCTGCTCACATCCTTTGTATTGGTAATAGAAAGAATTTTATATTAAATTTATTGTCTTTTTCCTTTCACTTTTCTTGTTGTTGTAAAATGTTTGGAATCCCAAAACTTGGATAAAAACAAAAACCTGAGTGGACAGATCCTGACAGATGTTCAAATTATTACATGAATTACTTCAACAATAATGTTTCATAGATTTTTCAGATCCTTAACTAGATCATGGTATTTTTCTATCTTTTTTGTTTCTTTGGAATACAGTCTTGTATTGTATGGAACACAGCAAAGTCAACAGTTTCATATTTGTTACTCTTATTTGTAAGAATAAGGCCAGATGTTCATGCTTCAATGACATGATATGGACTAAGAAATTCTATAATATTTTGTGACTGTCATTTTTGATCACCTGGTCTCAAACTACCAGCGATAACCATGTCTGATGGGCAGGAGAGGCTACTTAGCCTTGGCTGGCAGACCTCTTATTAAAATAAAAGTAACAGTGATTGGGCAATCTTAAATTTATAAACCTTCATATTTTGAATAAAATGTTCAATAAAAAATATTGAAAAGACTAGAACTAATGGTGAAGGCATCTTGGCTGGCAGGTATCCCATTGTACAGCAGAATGGGTTTGATCGTCAACATAGTACTGCTAGAGTTAGGAGGAAAAAATGGTCTCAGAAGGTAAATTGAACTGTAAGAGAGTGTTGTTATTATTATCATTAGTGGGAAAACAGAAATTATTATTATTATTTTTATACTTGCTTGTCCATTTACAGTAAATGTAGAAACAACTGCATTGACAACCCTCTAAATAAGGGTTTTCATAACTCAAAACTTACTTAATTCTCATGTATGTTATTTATTTCTATTTTTCACTGGTGGAAGTCATAAATAAAATATTAACATTAATATGACATGGGAAGCTTATTCATTGTGATCAGGCCAGCAGTCAGTTAGAAGATCTCAGCTAATAAATTTGAATATGAATTTTGCCTTTCATATATCAATGGGTAAACTCAATACTGATTATAGAGGCTTATGGCCATATCACATTGAAACACCAGATCTCACAAGATCCCTGAAGTTAAGCAATGTTGAGCCTGGTCAGTACCTATAAGGGTAATCGCTGGGGAATATCAGGTGCTGTAAGGTTGAATGTGCATAGGGTGTAATGGATAATGGCTCAGAATTGGAAATTGTAGAGCTGAGTTCTAATTTCAGTCAGTTACTTTACATTCACTTATATACAAATACCCTTGGGGAAAAGTATTATCCCCACCCCTCTTCTATGGGCTAATTAGTAAGACTTGTATAATTATCACCCCACCAAAAAAATTCTTATAATCTAAAAAATATATTTCTGGCTTTAAATAACCCACAGAATGTTGATAAGAAGCAAAACATGTTACATGTTCTTTACATTCTTTTATACACAAATACCCTTGAGAAAGGTATGAATCCACTGCTTGAAATTAGTAAAACTTGTATATTTATTGATCTCTCCCAGTTTATTATAATCTAAAAATATATCTGGCTTTATATATATATATAAAACATATATAGATATATATTTATATGGATAAATTGTCATCTAAATTACACAAAAATTAAAATGACATTGACATCGCATTTTAACAGATATATTTACAAAAATATCTTGAAGTACTAAAAAGTAAAACTATTCAATAAAATCGCCATTGGCTTCAACCACGGCCTCAAGATGACTTCTGAATCTCTTGCAACTCTTCTGGACGGTCTCCTTGTTTACATTGGTGAATACTGCCCTAATCCTTGCCTTCAGTTCATCTTTGTTTTTACAAAGAGTTTTGTTGGTCTCTCACTCAACTGTGCCCCACACATAATAATCAAAGGGGGGTTGCAGTTTGGGGAGTTAGATGGCCAGATGTAAAGGGTGATGCAGTTGCAGAAATTGTCTGACAGCCATGACTGGGTTCTCCTTGTGTGGCATGTTAGGCCTGTTGCCAGATATATAGTCTTCTAGCAGTCACACTCTTGACACAGGGCAGCATTATCTCCTTAAGGTATTTGATGTAGGTCTCTGTGTTGAGTCTGAGGCCCTCACCAACAAATTTGAGAGTTCTTTTCTTATCAGAATGATCAGACTGAGTTTTCCAAGTTTCTGTACATTTGTAATAACTATTAGACTCATCCAAATCTTTCTAAATCCTCTGCATGTTCCTCAGATTGACACCCAAATGCTCTGAAATTTTCATACTGAAGCTTTTGTCATCAATGCCAAGCAGTACAGCATGCTGGTTCCATATTTATGGTAGAGTGAATTGCATCATGGTGCTCTTTATCTCACAAACAGTGCCCAACTGATACTACTAAAGGGTGACAATTTACTCATCACATCCTCTGTGTGTGTATGTGTGTGTGTGTATATATTATAAATTAACTGATTTAGAAATATAGTTTCATCACTACACAGGAATTACCATGTTTCAAAAACAGAAACCAAAAACTTCAAATTCAATTGTATTAAATTAAAAGCATTAGTTCTGTTTCATCTTCAAGCGAATTCCAAATTTCATTTGAAGATGAAACAGAACTAATGCTTGTGTTTCAGGCATTATGATGGCAGATGTAAGTATTGAGATTCTGGTAACTTTTGGGGCATTGTTTAAACTGGGCCTCAAAGACACTGAAAGTGCTTGCTGCATTTGAGACATACAAGTGAATGAAACAATATTTGAGAGCAATGCATTGATTTAACTATTTTAAGCATAGTAACTTGCCCCTTGCAATAAAGCCCAGAAATAGATAACCTGTTGAGGAAATGTTCTCTAAATGTCAGTGGTTACCAATGTTGTGATCTGTCTACCCAGGTTTTTGTTGCTATCTGAGTGTCATGATTCTAAACATTTAACAACAACAACGCATCTTTTAAATGAAACATATAAAAGGTTATTTTCTGGAGGAAACATACATCAGTTGAAATAAAATTTATATATTCTTTTCAGAAATATACAATGACAATGAAATGTTCAATTTTCCTTTCAGGGAAGTTTGTTTTATAAAGTAATTAAGTGTTCTTAGAATGGTTTGAAATGTGTGGACAGACTTACTTTATGATGGTCAGCCTAATGTATTTGTAAGATTGTAGGCAAAGGCTTAGTAGGGGATTGCTCGTTAATCCCTTCGATGTGGATGAACAAGGCCTTAGTTGGTGGCTATGTGAGTGTGCGTGCGTGCATGCATGTGTATGCACATTTAGATCAAACTGACCTCCAAAATTGGTTTGAGCTGTGAGAAATATGCTTCTATTTTTATACCTGTAAGTGGATTCAAAATCTAATTTCATATAGAGGTGTGAAGTTTTTGAATAAAAGGTTTTCATTGGTTAGAAAATAATTTCAAATTGGCTTGTGAATATCTTTTTCTCAAAATTGCATGAGTGGTGAAGGGCATTATTGTTATTTTATAAATGATCCAAAAATAACATGTGGTAGGTTTGCAACTACATCCGTCAAGTATTTTGGTAGTATTTTCCCTTGTAATGATTGGTTATTAATCAAAACTTCTGACAGGTTTTTATTGGTTGAAAAATATATATAGGATTTCCTATAGAATATCAATTGTTATGATTCTTTAAAGTGTAAGGTAGATAAGAAGCAAACCAAAACTGTTAGTATCATGAAAAGAGACTATATATCAAGCATTACATCAACTCAAAAACATAAAGGTCTATCAATACATTTGATACACTAATAATTTATTTGAAACTGATTTTGATAACTTCAAATTATTCATATCACGTTTCCCGCTGGAGGGTCTCGTCTCGAATATAGAATAATAATTTTATCATTTGTTTTCAGATATATCACTGTTTTTTTTTTTTTTATTTTTGTGTTGCTTCATATAATCTATAGCTAGAAAATATTTTCGATTACATTATTTTCAGTAAAGAAAACAACTTTTGCAAACAACAACAACAACAACTCTTTGTTTTATTTTTTCTTCCAGCAACATTATATAATGCCTTAAATTTGGACACTCAACCAGAGAAGACACATGATATATTGAATGTCTGTTATCTGTAAATTGTCTTGAAACAGACCAATAGGGCAAGTGGTATTTCTTGAAATTCAAAATATAGGAATGCCAAGCTTTTCAGAAAGGTTACTGAAAGGAATTTTCTGCTGTCTCTATCCATGGATTAAATGTCACAACATATTGGTTCAAAGATGCCTGTACTGTTCAAGTAGATGTGTGGGGTTTGACTCAAGGCACTAAATGTATTTTCACCTGTATTTGTCCATGGTAAAGAAAGATCAGGTAAGTGTTAGCAGAGCTTAAAAATAGTATCAGGACATTTAAGCCTTGTTTTTAAGTTTGCAATAAGAAGTGAAAGAGAGTTACAGAGTTTTGATTTTCCATTTACGAGTTTTGTGCAGTACACCCTTGGCAAAATTCAAAGAGAATCAAGTGGGGATAATTTGATCAGCTTCCATTAATAACAAAAGATGTAAGATGGAAGTTTATAAAGGCACAAGATTACAAAACAAGACAACCACAGCATAAAATTTTAAAAGGAAAAACTCATTTGTTTGACAATAATGAAAAAAAGGTACAAATAAAGTTTGCCCAAAAATTTTGGTGGGTTTTAACCATCAAGCTGAAAAAGATGTACAATTGTAGCCATGTTTAATACAAATCATCTGGCCTTCTCAAAAGAATGTGTACTAAAAAAATCAATCTAGACAATTAAACATTTATGCGAGACTAACATTTTTAAAATAATAAAATTTTTTTATATTATCAGCACAGAAGGTGGAGTCTATAAGAACCAAGTTTAAATTTTGGCAGAGGCTGTTTATGTTAACTTTTCAGTAATTCTACTAGGAAAGGCATGAATCCACTCCTCCTTATACTCTCCTTATAAGATATATTGATAAAATGTCTCATGAATGGTATGTGTAGAATCAAACTTCTACATTTGTTTAAAAACCCATTAAAAGTGGCTCAGAGGGAAAATTATCTCAAATCAATCCCAGTAGCCCAACAACCCATTAAAATTCACTCCAGACGAGAAGTAACTAAAAACACTTTCTGGTTGACTAATAAACAAAAATTCATAATTTCATATGTTCTCAACCATGTACGAATCATATTGGTTTAGTGTGTATCCTAAGCAGATACAAATTTGCGCCAAATTTCTTGGAGCCTCCCATGTGACTTGAAACATCAATAAATATGAAACATCATTCGACAGTGAGTCTTATGAATTTTCTCAGCTTGATACCCAAATCCATATCACATATTTTACAAGGTTTAAAGTTAAATATATACTCACACAACTGCATAAACTCAACAGGAAACATCAAGTGACAAACTCAATCAAAGAGAGACAACTTCATACACAGAACAGTAAGTTGAGTACAATATTACAAAATTCAACACCAAAAACAAACTGCTTGATTTTCCTACAAACACAAAAATACCTTATCAACCTTACCCATTTTTATACACAGAGTTTCTCAACTCTTAATCTTTCATATAATATCTTTATAAACACTACAATCCACACATGAAAAAACTTTGAAGCAATTTAAACAACTCTCAACATCCAATTTTGTACCTTCTTTTGGTTATATATAAAAAATATTTTTTGTTGAATCAAAGTATTGTTTCATATTGTTATTTCTCTTATTGTTTGCTAGCTTTTCGTTACATTTGTGAAGTTAAAAAAAGTAATAATTTAATTGCATTACCATCAACCCTTTACAAATTGGTAAACCAGTCTTGTTGGTGGCATTACCCCCAACACCACCACCGCTACATATGCCATGAATTTTAATGGAGAGGAAAATAGGTAACTAAGCAGTTGTTTAAACCACAACTACATAACTACTCAATTGGGAGCAAGAGTTATCCCCCTTGCCAATCGTGACAAGGGTCAATAATAAATAGTTTTGCCATGACCCCGTGATAACATACAACAGGTCTGTTAGTTCCAAACCTGGGTAGAATGACTAGAAAATACTTCCCCCTCTACAATTTACAGATGAAACACAGATGCATGCTGGGATTTCTTCTTAGCCAATAAGATAGGCCACTTCTTGGTCTCATCAGACTTAGTTCTCTTTTTGCTTGTCTTGAAGCCAGAATGCTGCAATCACTTGTCT